TTCATGGTGTTAAAAGTATCGTCGCAGGACATAAGCTGTTCCAAGTAAAGCTGCCTTTTGCAATTCACTGATGGTGATTTTGTCAATGCCAATGATCTTCAAGTGGTGCTCCAGATGTTTTGGTATTATTATTATAATTATCATCATCATCTGTACATGTAGTCTATAAAGATTTTGTTTTTGCTTGTAATGACCTGCCTCCTAAACTGTTGTACATACAGAACTTACTTTATCCAAAGTCTACAAATGAAATAGCAGGATTTCTCAAAAGGCATGCCATTTTATATGAAGAATTGCTACAGGGTCCCCAACTAGAGTGTTAAGGAAAGCTCATCATGGCTGTTTTATGCTTTTCTTATACTTTCCATGGGTAACTTTAGGCAATCCTTTCTCTTGTCTTCCTTTTTTTTGCTTTACAAATGCTGCTTGCCACCATCTCCAATACGCTGATCTATTTAGGGACAAATAAAATATAGCCTTCTGGTTTACTTAGGTATGCAAGTAATTTTGCGATGGCTCCCTTACTACAATTAACATCATCCTCTCCTGATGTGTGCTTTTTTATAGATTTTATAGTTTTAATGATTGTTTTATATGTATTTATGGGTTTTTAAATTAAGTGTTGTACACCGCCCAGAGTCACTTTTTTGTGAGATGGGTGGCTATATAAATATGATCAATCAATTAATAAAATAAATAAATAGAAACTCTTGGGACTGATTAACAGCCAGGTAGAATGTTTCCCTTTATTTCTTCCTTCTAAAACTCACAGGAGAGACAAGTGTCATACCAAGTCCAAGCGGTTTCACTGGGGAAAACAAGAGAGCTTATTCACCTGAATGTAAAGTAGCAGAATTGGCTTGGCAAGGTAGTAATATCCTCTAGTCCAGGAATGGGAAACTCATACTCCTCCAAACGTGGCTGCACTTCAACTCCTATCAGCCCCTTATAGCATGTAAAATAATAAGGGATAAAAGATGTGGTCATCAGTATAGATCTACAGGGCTATCAGTCCCCACTTCTGCTCTAGCCCATCTCCAAGACAGCAACAGCTAGTACTAATTACTCGAGGGGCAGGGAGGAGAAAGAAGTCACCAGTGCAGTTATTGATTGAGCTTAAATGTTAAGGAGATTCTTGCTAAAAGGCTATATACTTTTCACTACTTCCCAGTGTCACTTACTAACATGACTGATGTGACCCTTGTTCTCTTCACTAGTTGCTCCTTGTTTGCTGAACAGAGATGCTTGAATACACTCTGTGCATTCCCTTTCCCTCTGTGAATGCATGTATATGTGGGCCTTTTTTATACATTTTTACTAATTAATGCTGTTTCCAGAACAAATGCTCAGCTACTGCAGGCCTCCAAACAGCCCTAGGGCTAGATTGTTAACGAGGATTTTAATTTGTTAATTAAAAGCAGGATGCCTTCCTAGCAAACTGCTGCACCACATTGAGTCTCAGAGGAGACTCAGTGGAAGGAAGGGGACGAAGATACCTTCAAATATGCTGTGCATTAAATTATATCTGAACAAAAGTCAAGACTGATTAGGATATGTAAAGGAGGGAAAGGGGGTTGGCTGATTCCTCATCAGGGTCAGCCCTTCTCACTGATGGGAGATTTGACCCACTCTCTGAGTCAGCAAGACAGAAGCAAACAGTCAACTGCTGGATATTCCTCTGAGCTGAGAGATGAAGCTTTATGAAGAAGATGGCCCTATCTGCTATAGGATGTGAACAGACTAGGACTTATAGGATGGTTGATCAATATATCTTCTCCATCAATGTGTATAGATTTTATAAAGCAGTAGAGGCCACAGTCTGCTCATCCCTCCCTTAAAGGGATGTGCAGTTTAAAATTTAACTGATTAAATTTTTAAGAAAGGGATGAAAATAGATCTAAGGGTGAACAGGGGGAGAATAGGTAATTTTTGCATTTTGTATTGCACATAAGTCATATTCAAACATTCAGTCAAATACATAAGGAAATACTGTGTAGGGTACTGGGTCAAGCACTTGTATCCCAAAAGTTCATAGATGCACCAGCCATCCTACATGCTTGGCCTTCATACGTTGAGCATGAAGGTCTGAAGGGGATCCTAAGTGAAATCAGCTGAACATCCTGAGAAAGGTCTCTGGAATCAAGACCCCTTTTAACCTGACTTTTCAAAGCCTATAAGCTTCTGAACATATTCAACTGAACATTCTTAGATACTCCATTTGGATCTTACACTAAATGCATGACTGGGGGTGGGGGCAGGGTGTTTACCCCTGTGATCCTTTGCTATTTGTAGCCTTATATATTCAGCTGAACACTTTACTAAAGCATGGTTATACTATGGAACAAGGACTCCTGCACCCAGAATTTTTTTCCTGTGTCACATTGGCAAGGGCCATGTCCTTGCTGTTAAGACTGTCAGTAGCCTCATTCCCAGTCCAACAACTTAATAACTGAACACACTTTATTTATTTATATCATTCATATAGCTACACATCTCACACAAGTGACTCTAAGTGTCTTAACAAGATTAAAAACAAACAAATCCCCCAAACATACCCATGCCCAAAGATAAACTATTAACTATTAACCATCAATAGTAGCAGAGCTCATCTCCCTCCTGGCCGACCCAGGTCTTCAATGCCTTGTGAAAGGCTAACAGTTGGGGCCATCCAAATCTCAGGGGGTGGATATGCTGCTCCACCTGATGGACAAGAGAAGCAGTCTAATTATCATCAGCATTCTACCAAATTTGAACTAGATATAAGAAGAAAGTTCAAAGTGGATATCCATGGAACACAACATAGGGTGAGTTATCATTACTCTGCAACAAAGCTCGTCGTCTTGCTCAAAAGCAATTTAATGTTTTATACTGACACATGACTTTATTAGAAAGCCATTTTCAACATTTCAAACAAAGCCATGAGAGAAGAAGACTAAGTGACAAATGGGATGTTACTTCCCACTGAATTCTGAATCCAAATGGGAGAGATGAGTGTATCTCCCTGTCAGGAGCGAAACTGGGCTACTAACTATAGATCCTGCTTATTTGTTTTCCCCTTATCTTCAATGTTCTTTTAGAGGAACTATGCCTCAAACTCAGAACCACATTTGGACCATGAACGGTTTGAAGGAATGGAAGGAGTTAAATATCTTGGCAAATGGGAGAAAAACAAATCTTGAAACTAGACATCTCTCTGGATTTTTATCAGTTTCCGAGAAATAGTCCTGTTAGCTCTTTTGCAGCAAAAAAAAAAAAAAAAGTAGTCTTGTAATATCTTAAAGATTAATCAATTATGGCATACGATTTTGTGAATCACAGTTCCCATATATTTATTTATGGAATTTATAGGGCTGTCCAACTCACAAATTGCAACTCTGTTAATTTAAGATAAAAAAACACCAAACACTTAAAATTAAAAAAACCCAAACAAAATAGCCGTTACACAAAAAACCACCACAGAAACACAACATGAAGCAACATACAACTGAGGCCAAATGAGAACACATTCAAATTCCAAAACTATTTACCAGGGACAGGCTCATCCAATGTCCTAACACCATGCCTGGGGCAAAAAAACCCCACAAACAAAACCAAAACCAAAAAACAGATTTTTGAGGCCTTATACTCAGTATAGATCTGTGAGAAGAATATTATATTCATATACATTTTGGCAGAGAGAGGGAGAGAAAGGGAAAAAGGGAAACGGTGAGAAGAGAGGTGGGAGACAGAATTACCTTGTGATCTTTATCAGTGAAGCTCAAGAGTGCTAATTAATTGGGAGAGTACAGGATGTGGGGGAGATTAATGGCTTCCTGCCAGCTGAGGCATGGTTCCAATTCCTCAGTTATTTCAGTTAGTTCATATACCTTGGCTTCTGAACCCCACTTCACATTTCCTGACATAAAAATATGGTTTTGTCAGGAAGTCACTCTGGTAATTTAGTAAAAGCTGCAAGGGACACGTTCCTACTTTATCCAAAGATCTTCTTCATCAGAGATGATCCGGGTGCCCTCCAGTCCTGGCGGATATGGCTACCCAGGAATGAGTCTTGGTGTTGGTTGTCCCCCCTCCCCGCCTCTTGGCAAATTTGGAATCCCTCCCTGGTGCCATCTTAATTATCTTTTCAGCATGAGGCAAAAACATGTTTATTCTCCCAGGTCTTTTAATAACAATGATGCTACTGCTTTTCTCTGTTGCTTGGAATTGAGATTTTATTCTGTACATTTTACATAATGTTTTAATGTATGCTTTTTTATTATTGTAAATTATTGCTCTGACTGCTGATTTTTTAGTGTCAACTACATTGTGATTTTTTAAAGATAGGAATTGGAATATAAATATTTTAACTAAGGAAGCACGAGTAATTACTCTCTCATTATAGCCTCAAAGACGGAAAATGTACACATATAATCCACAAGGAGAAGTCTGTTATATTGTGATTAATTATCCTGTGTTCACTTGTGGTTAATTTATTAGAGATCATGTGTCAATGATTAGTAGAGCAACAATATAAGCATAACATATATAGCCAGGCTATGTATGAATGTACCTTCATTCATACACATCTATTTCCCCTTTCATGTGGAATGCTGAGGTTGGAAATGATTCACGGGTGTTTCCTCTCAAAAGACACTCAATATATATCACCAATAGCATGAGCACATCATTCCTGCTCAGGTCCCAGTATCCATCAGCTGTTCCTGCTTAGCCTCTGTAGAATCATAGCAGCCCTGTTCAGACTCTTAAGTTCAAACAATATCTGGAAAATAATGTAAGGGGCATGACATCATACACAACATCCCCAGGTGCACCAACCCTTCCCTCTTAGCCACTGATCTTGCTCAGTTAAGTGACAAAGACTTGCAAGATGGTTTGGTGTCCAACTTGCATTTTCCTGAATGCAAATTATATTGTCACGTATGATCCGTAACACAAGCTCAGAAATGGGGGTGGAAAAGGACTGGGAATACCAGGGTACGGTAGGGTACCAATACTCCTTTTGTGCATTATATAACCCCTTGGGCATGGCTACAGAATCCAGAGAAGAAAAGTCAGACTTCTTCATTCAGACTCACATATATTCAGCATCTTAGTGGGGTTTTTTCAAGTCACCTTGCAAGAATAACCAATTCCAAATCTAAGCAGTGAGGTCAGCAACTGTTGCAAAGACAGAGGTACCACTTAAAAGAAAAACCATGTGAGAAAACCTGAGAGCAGTATGTTTGAAATGGTTTTTGAGACTGGCAGGACAAAAAAGATGGTCTCTTTGTAAAATCAATTATTACATTCAAGCACCCACTTGAGGGCTGCCTCTTTCATGGCTCCTCTTATCTCTTTCCATCAGTTCCCCCTCTGTCCCCCTACATGAAGAGAAAGGGGCCTCCCTGGCATCAAAGGCTTTGCCCTAGGGACATTTTTCATTTACATCTCTGGGCCCAGCCCCAAACCCATCTTTACCGTAGCGGCTGGAGCAGCCTGACTCTCAGCTGCGAACAGAGTCCCATTCAGGCTGTTGACACAAGCTGAGAAAGAGCCCCTGTGTGCATGAGTAGGGAAAGAAACAGAAGCATCTACTGTACTGTATTGAGATAGATCCTCGTCCTGTAGAGGAAAGTCAATCCTGCCCTGCCACCACGTTGGAAAAGCCAATATTTCCCCTTTCAAAAACTCCTCCAATCCACAGCTCCAGCCACCAAATTTGTTCCTCTGAGAGAAGCCAGAAGCTGAGAGAAGCTGCAGAAAAGGGTTCCTCCTTAAAAAGTATGAAAGAACAAGAAAGAAAATAAGAGCCACTTCACTAAGTTAGGGCTTGTCTGCTCCTTCCCAGAATTCTGTTTTCTCCTTATTCTATTTATTCTTTTTTATTCTTACATTTATATCCTCCTTTTTCTCTGGGAGTTGAAGGAGGTGCACGTGGCATTTACTTCATTTTACTCTCACAACAACAACCCTGATGGATAGCTTGGGCTAACAGATAGTGACAGGGGATGGTCACTCAGCAAGTTCCATGGCTGAGTGGAGACCTGAACCTGGGTCCCTCTGGCCTCAATACGTCTCCGCATTCTACTTTCAATCTTTCTCCTGGACTGCTTCAGAGGAGCTTCAGATAGCATGAATTACTCCAACATAAACAGCTCTGAAAGTGAGGTTACCCTTAGGGTAGCCGTGTGGCTGACTTCATAGCAATAAAGATGTTCACTCCAAGGGTAGAGAACTATAAGCAGGAGAGCAGGGATTCGAAGTTAATCAGAAGAAGATGTGCTGTCTTTCTTAAATGACAGTCATGATTTCTAAACTCCATCTCCACATATAAATTAGCATATTTCGGAAAAAAAAAAAGGTTGGTTCAAGTTAACATTCTGAACTTCTATACGCACAATAAATTCACGGCAAAGCAAGGAATTCTGTGCATATGGTCAACAGCAAACAAAGCAAAACTTCTTTGTGGATGTTGTTTTGACATTTATTATTAGCTTTGTAGAATCTGATTCTGTGTACCTGCCTGGATGTGACCAATGGATAGACTAATAAAAATAACGAAAACCCTAAAAATCCTAAAAACACAAAAACTCTTGTATAGTAAGATGGGTGGCATATATACATTTGAAAAATAAATAAATAAAAAGTAAATAAGTATTGTAGCAGTTCAAGTTCATTCCTGTCAATTACTAGAAAGTCACATAAGAACACACATCACCACCCTTGGGGTTTGTTATAGGGCTTCTTTCTTTGGGTCGTGAATGGAAGACTTTTTCTGGGAGAAGCATCTGAAGGGGTCCTCTCCCTTCCACTTCCTGCAAGCCTTCTCTGAGCATACAGTTAACAATAACATCAGCTACCTTAATCACTTATTGACTGACTGATTTGATTCGATTTGATTTCTAAGGCCACTTAGTTTTCAAGTGTTCTTTTAAACTTACTACAGCCATAGTAAGGCACCTTGTTTTTAGTTTTTCTTGACCTTAATTCAGTTCTGCGGCTTTTATTGTCATCACACCATAACAGGCAATAGAATACAGCATTTCTAAATGTGCACAGGAATGTATAGACAATGTAAGAACAAGTATCAATCACCGTTCCATCAGTATTCTGCTTCCAGGTTAGAGAATCATTAGCGTAGGAAAGGAGTTTCATAGATACTTTATTACCACAGCCAGTAAAACAAATCACACACAGTTCTTTCCAGAGGGCATGTGCTTATTTAACCTAATTTATTATATAGGAGCATTGAGGTTCAAAAATACAGTAGATCTTAAAAAGTCTTATCCAAATCTCAGCGTGGCAAATACTTTTTTTTGCCCAAAAAGTGTGCTTTTTCTTTCAGTGTGTATCCCCAAAAATATAAAAATACAGACCTACCAGCAGTGTGCAAGACTGCTGTTCACCGCTTTACTCCCTTCACTGCCCACTCTTCAACCCCTAACAGTACTACCCACACTAACCAATGCTCCAACTATCTCTTTTGTGCATACATACACAAATGCACATGTACATTTACACAGACACACAGAATTCCTTTCAAGATATACTGTAGTAGAGGTCTGCTTCCTTCTGTAATGTTAGCTAGTTTCTTCCATGAGCTCACAACCATCTCTGAGTGACAGAAGTCATTTATTTACTTTGGATAGACAAGGATTAAAACATGATTCCTTGAAATGCAGGAATTAACCCCTTTTAGTAGTTTTTA